TTGAGACTACGGCATTTCTATGGACTGTTAGCTTCAGAGTCATTTCATGGTAGTAGATTCTACCACTCACATCTGCGACAGAAACAAAGTGCTTGATCACAATCACACGCTTCTTCACATCCATCTGCGCCAAGATCATCTCCGCCACCCAATTGGTCATTTGGTTGGAGTGCAGAATGAGAGCCTTGACGTTGGGAGCCGGTTCTGGCTCTCCCTCGCCAACCTTCTTTTGCCATGTCTTGTTGAGACACTCTGTAGGCTTAATCTTTCCATAGAGCCTTGACTCAATTATGGTGAGCTGGCGAGCAAACTCTGTGACATCGATATCCAAGAACTTGAGCTTCTTCATGTTCTTAGGCATAATGGGTGATGGCGTGTTTTGGTTGAGCGTCTGTACCATCCGACGAGCTCCAGCTTGTTGACCACTGAGCCGTTGATCCAGGACCGCCATTAGTGGTGCAGAGCCTGGTGTCTCTGTAGACTTGACGGTATCCCTAGCAAAGGTGTAAACATCTCGAATGAGCTGCTTTGATTCCTCATTGTGCTCTTCCATCCAGAAGTTATCGAACCAACTCTTCAGAATGTTGACGACCCGGAAGCGAATGAGTTTCTGTTTCCTGTCTCGCCAGGCCTCGAAGTCCGATTGAGAGAGACCCTCTGGTGGTTGGATGCCGAAGCGATTCACGATCAGTTTGAAAAGATCTTGAGCTGTCGTGAAGGACCTGTATGTAAGCAGGAACGTGTTGTTGAAGTTCGAGTCAAGCTTATCATGTCGTGTCAGTTGCTCCACGAGTGCCTCCAAAGTACCACCCTTAACGATGGGCGGTGTCAGCTTGTTGTCCCAGGCAAGATCTGGCTCATGGTCCAGCTTGAGGAACTCCGGCGTGTCATCGACAGGAGGCATGTTGCTCTGAGGGTTGGGGTCGTCACCCAAAATTTTCTTAACCTTTGAGTAGTCGCCTCCTCGGAAGTTGCCAGTGCTCTCGCCCTCGGTGAAGGATTGTGAAGTGATCATTGGGGGTCGCGATGCTGCGGGAGTCGTTCGCGATTCCGTGCGCTGATGGGGTCTGTCGTACGGAGTGGTCTCTCCCCGGCGGAGTTGTTCACGCTGCATCACGTCTTCCCTCTGTTTCGAGTCGACTTGTTGCTGCATGTTAATTTGCACTTGTTCAGACAACAGCTGCAAAGAAAAGCCGATGTGCGAGGAATTCGTCTCGAGGGCCTTCGCACATTGTCGGACATAGTCTAGTCGGTTCTCGAGAGCCTCGCCTCGAACCTCGGCCCATTCGTCGGCCAGGGGCCCGGCCACGGCCTGGCAACCTAGCAGCAGGTCTGACATGTTGTCGTATAGGCTCTGCTTGTTGGCGGCGAAGTCTGCCAACTGGGGCGTTTGGAAACTGTCGCCCAGGGTTGAAAGGTCGATAGACTCGATGAGTGCAATCCATGGCTTGAACGTCTCCAAGACCTTGCCTCCCGCCAAACAAACGTTGTTTCCGATGACTTCGTGCTTGAAAGGTGAAGTGATCTTGTCCGCCACAACCAAATTCTTGTCCAGTTCTCTTATGCTGAAAACAAGCATGCGCTTGAGCTCGTCTAGCCTCTCGAGCTGCTTGCCGTCTAGAATTGCCGTGGGCTCGACCACACCCTCTTCATCTTCCAGGAAATTCGCTGTGATAGGATCGCGGGTGCCCAGTCCGTTGTTCTGCCAGCTGCCGCCAGTAGAACTTCCGATGACAAATCCGGGGAACAGGCGCGGGATCTCCTCTCCACGTTGCTGACGGGCAATTTCGACATAACTGAAAACGCCGAGTAGCACTCCATCGGCTTCTTGGAGACACTTCTGTACAGATTCGGCATTGGGCCAGTCAGCAGCAGCAATGTGAGATGAGATTACGAGCTTCGAGAATTTTGACATCATGTCTCTGAAATGGGGATAAAGAGCCTTGTTCGTGGAAATAATGGAAGGCTGGCCAGAGTGGTTATCGGTCGTGCCAGATCCAGCAGCTAGAAGTAGTCTCAGGTGGTCTGAGATATCTTCTGCGCGCGCAACATATTCGGAACGGTTGCCACTCGTAATGGCATCGCGATAACGGTCAACGGCTCGGCGCATGTTGGAAACCAGGCGAGTCCAGGTCAGCGGCGGCGCTGAGCCGTCGTCGAAAAAGGAACGAGGCACGGTGCTGGTTGGCGGCGTATTGTAAGAAGTGCTGGTGAACGAGGTCGCTGATGCAATCATTGGGATTGCGTTGGGTGCCAAGTTTGGGTTCAGGTATGCGCCGTCCTTCTGCCGGGTAACAGGTGCGGTACCGTTAATGGAGTCCATCGAAGTGGAGGGTGAGAGCATCTCGCTACGAGACCGACGATTACGAGGCTATCATGCACATACACTGGTCAGCAAAAGCAACCCACGGCGGTGCGAGCTTTGCGGCACGAGCTCTTACCAAAGATCCACGAGATGCGAGCATCAAAGACTCTCCCTCCAACTCGGATGCGGAGTTTGCTTCGGAGTCTTCGTCCTCATCTTGTGTCAGGCCCCTAGCCATCATCTCTGGGGGTGGCCGTGTCTTCTCAGGGACATTGACGTTTATCCGGTTACGGGGCCCTGTCTCATTGGTAGATACTGGAGACTCCAAAGGCAATTCCATGCTCCGATCGCCCGTCATCATATTGTAGTAGAATAGGCGCCCATCTGGGGTTGCTTGCGGGATCCAAAAGTCGGCCCGTGATTTGTCACCGAGATCCGTACCCTCGAGAGGGAGGCCGCTGGCGTCGTCCAGTTCCGACTCGTCATCTTCTTCCAGCTGCTCGTCGTAGACCTCCTGACTGTCCTCCTCATCGTCGACATGATCAAGATCGCCATTCTGGTCATGCTCGGGAATTTCGTCGGGACTCGTAACGATTTGACAGTAGTTACTCGGGAACCAACCGCGCACACCGTTGATAACGCCGTCCCACCATCCGCTTTCCAGCTGTGTTATAACCTGAATAACGTCTCCTTCGTGGAAACTGAGACTCGTGCGGTCGTCGGCCTCGTAATCGTACAGAGCGCGGACGTACATGGTACCGGGCGGGGCAGTGCCCGCAATACCGTTCATTATGGACGAGGAGGAAGTAATGGCCTGTGAATAGGGTGAGAAGGCTTGGCCGACGCTGGAAGGGTCCAACGCCGGTTGGGAAGGGTAGTAGTTGGTAGCGTCGTGATTGAGGTTTTCGCGCGAAGGCTTTTTGCGGGAATTGTAGTTGTTGTTCTGACCCTGGAATAGTGCCGGCACTGCGGTCTGTGTCATCAGCATGATGAGGCGGTCGCGCTGATAACCCAAGGAGGGGAAAAGGGTCAAGTCATGATCCGGGCACGTCTACGCTGTTGTTGCTTGGACCTGTATCGGCGGCGAGGGTCGGCGAGGAGATGGGTTGAATCGTCAATCGTAAAAAGTCGTGAAGAAGAAAGCAGAAGAAGGCGTAGTCAGATGGGAGAGAAGCGACGAGTTGTTGAGTTGCAGAAACCCACAATCCAGGAGTCGCAGGTTTGGAGCCGGGGGGTAAAGTTGCGGGGGGCGACGTTCGTCTCGTCTGGCAACAGGCGCAGCCGTGTGTCGACGAGGTCGGTGGTTCTCTGGCGCAGGCGCTGACTGACAGTGAACAGTTGGCTACTGGGTCGGTTGTCGCGTTGAAGAATTGGAAAATCGAGGGAGCGGTCGCGACTCGCAGAGCTCACTGGTGGGATGAGATGAGAGAAAGCAGTGGGCGGGTAGAGATGTGTGGGATGCGAGCGACGATTCGCCGGATATTTTTCTCGCGTCGTCGTGTGCGCTGATGCTGCTGGACAGTCGGGAGGGGAGGGGGGACTCGGGAGGGGAGAGGGGGCATGGAGAGGAGGATCGCCTGATGAGGGAAGGCCCCCGAAGGACCAATGTCGCCTAGGGGATCTCTCGGCGGGTGTATCAGACCGTCTCTGTAAATGCCTCTCCTCTCGCTTTGTCCCTTTTCAGGGTCGGCCTCTAGCGGGTGGGCGACCAGTATCGAATCTTTTGCAACCGTCACGGTGACCGTTGGAGGGGTATCCAATGTATATCAAGACAACTTTGAACAAGGTATGGTGAGTAGGTGCCTATCGTCTTCGTCCTCGTCGTCGTTTTCGTGGTGGTTGTCAATGGTTATGGGCCGTGTGGGCGGGCTGCAGAGTCGAGGGGATGCGACTGGGAACAATGGTAGCACGGGGGGACCACAGTAGAGTAGCTACTTGGGCGCGATAGGTGAATGTATGGAGTATACTTCTAGACGCTGGACGAATTGGCGATCACAAAGGCGCGAAGAGGTCACTTTAGAGGATGGGCGAAGGATGCCGGCGGTACCTCGATGGCGGAAGCTTAACAGTCTGTGGGTGGTCAATGGCCGGGACGGGACTGAAGGATTGCAATAAGGGGAGGAGGCACACGCCGCACGAGGCACGGGGGGACGGAATGGGGACCTCCTCCCTCAGGCCCGGTGCAACTGGTGGTCCCTTACTACATACTAAGGTACTGTGGTTGGTCCTGTGTAGGTACGCTAAAGTTGCAAATTAGGTAAGCTGTCTGGGTTCCTCCCGTCTTGTCTCCTTCCCTCGTGCTTTTTCCAGGATTCTGCTTGCCCGTCTCGTTGGAGCGCGGGTCTTTGAGCGCTCTTCTCCCTCCTCCATTGGCCAAATCCTCAGCAGTCCATCCCCCTCCCCTGGGAGGAAACACAACGTGAGGAAGTGAAGGACCGGGACAGTAGGTATGGGTTGAGGCACAGCAGGGGATTTGTCTGTATTGGAAAGTACGAGGTATTCGTAGCGTGCGACAGTGATCAAATAGGCAAGGAGGGCACTTTGGTCAATTTCCAGCCTGAATCTGAGCCGTGAATGGGCTGCAGGCGGCCCCCTCCGGCTAAGATATTGAACATCTGTCTATCTACTACGTAGGTATCCAAAATCATGTCTTGAACGAGCAAGGCCGAGTCTGACTTGGCTTGGGTCCCTGACAATGACAATCAATTGCTTGAGCCTTGACCCAAGGTACGGACAGATTGAGTCTCCTGTAAGTACTCCGAACAAAGTATAGCTATCATACCTTCATCCGTCTGCAAGTTTGCGGCTTTGCCCTCGAACCTGAGAATCCCCCGTCAGTCGGAACAACGAGACACCTATTTCACAAGACAGACGGGACGGAACGCTGACACTCAGAACGCAAACAACGATACCTTATCCATCATTTACCACGAGGCAGCCCAAAACACTTTACCTTGCAGCTTTAAGTAACCTATTACCTGCCTTCCTTATATGAGAAAGGAGAGAGAACGCCGGACGGAACAGCAGCCAGGAAATGGGCCTCAGGAAGGAATCAAGGACACTGTGCGGTTGGCAGGAGAGAGGAAGTGCAGGGGCCACCATACACCGGTGTGGAGCCCGGGCACGAGCTTGACCGACCAAGAAGGAAGGAAGTGCAGGACTACCGGGTAAGGTAGGGTACGGAGTACCTTAACCCACCTCATCCAAAGGCAGGTGGACCCCGCCGACTGTTCAAATTTCACCTCGTTTTCCATTTGAACCATCCACGGACGGATCTTCACTACCACCCTTTCCCGCCGCACTGTGCTCCGTTGACGCGCGACGTTTCCAGGACGACAGATCACCATGAATCCTCCTTATCCGGGTCCTTGCCCGTTTCCGCACTGTGCTACGTCCAAAGAGGCGTGGAGGGCTGGATGATGCCAACGCCGTCACTTCCTACCACAAGGTAACGAAATGGGAACGTTGTCTACGCCGTGATACTCACCTAAACTCACCCAAAGATAGTAAAAGGCATCCGCAAGTCTTCGTCCTTGCTGGCCACCCTGCTGCCCTGGGAGTCGAGCGCAAGAATGCGCCAGGAACAGGTCAGGTTCAGGCACATCGTCTCGACGTATCCCATCCCATCCCAACCCGACTTCCTGGCCGCAACTCCAATTTTGCCCGCACTTGTTCTTCGTCTGAAGACGAAGAAGGCGGCCCTGCGTTCACCACCGCCTTGATGTATCCCTCCACGCCTGCCGACGGCTCGTCGACTATCCTTTTCCGACCGGGTGTAAGACGATGCCGCTGCACTCCGGCAAAGTATAAAGCGGTCTACCATCATTCGTACTCTCGCCCATGCCTTGTCCGGTCACGACGGCCCGGCTAATGCCACCGGGTATTGAGAGGAGGGGCATAGACATCGCATTTGACCTTCGCCGCCGGAATGCAGTCGCTCATGACAACGGCGCCGTGAGCGTGATCCCCTCTGGCCTTCTTGATGCGCCGCGCCGTGTCCGCGAGAATCAGCCGGTTTGCCTGTCGATTCGGCCACGACACACCATGCGCCGATGATAGGCAGTCGCCGAAGCCTGGGACACTTCTACGCCTGACCATCTTCTTTCATGACAAAGGCGAGAGACTCGGTAGCATCAACGCCATGCGTTCATTCGGTTGGGCAAGACCACTATGCTTCTGTTAGATATTGTTGCTCCGTTGTCATAAGGTAGTGAATGAGGATCGGTACGTTGCCTTACACCCAGGTTAGAGGCAGGCGGGTTTTCATTCCACTGTCGAAATCGTCGACAGTTGGGATGGCGCCATCTCGCACCCTCGTGGTGTGTCTTGTCTGAGAAAGGTTACAGAATCGCTCCCGAGGGTATCGCTACCTATGAAGTCGAACGAACGAGCGCTTGATCCACGAACGCGTGGATGGGTGACGGTGCGGGGCGTTCCGTGAGGGGCACTGACGCTTTGTTGTAAAGAAAAGAAGGGAAAAAAAGGGGTCGCAATCCTTTTCTCAGAAAGCCCCTCCTGTGTTGCAGATCGGGACGATATCAGATGTTCTCATGAGATTCCATTGCGACGATGGGCTCGGAACGAGACATACGGTAGGTAACGGGGGTGTCCAATACAGACACAGCGCGCCACTACCAGCGAAAGAGGCAACCTACCATTTTCTATCCGTAGTGCTTTTTTTTCTTCCTTCCGCAAAAGTATTGCGAATCAGAGAGGTGCGGTTTCAGGTCGTGATTCGTTCATGTTCCGGGGCCTTGGGGCGGCCGGCGATGACACTGACACGCTGATCCCACCTCACATCAGTCTACCTCCGACTCTGCGTGAGTACCTACGTATGTATGACTGTGACTATGCAGAAGTGCGTGCCGCGATCAAGGCGCCCGACGGCAACGCCCTAGCAGGAAAATCCAGTCAGGCACCTCAATGATCGTCAGGGGTTTAGCTGCCCGTCGCCTTCAGCCTCCCGCCACCACAAGTCTTGTTGATCTGCGAGATGTTCGTTCTCTGTCAATGGTGCATTGGTGACATTTTTGCGATTCGAACCACATGGTTAGATCGATACAAAGTACAAAGCCACGACGAGTACCTACCATTAAGAAAGTGCTGGCTGGCTGGCCAGCCTGCCTAGCCAGCATTCCCCTCCGCGCAACGATATGTTCTCTTTTCTCCTGGCCCGCCACACTTACAGCTTCCAGGGACCAGCACCGAGACCGCTGTGTTTGCTCGCCTTACTTTTTCAATCGCCTCACGGAGTCACAGTCTTTCAGAAACCACACTACGGATACACTAGAAAAGAAGCCCAAAGAGGTTACCCGGGAACGGCGGATGCCGGGAAGAAGCCACCTCAGGCCTTCAGTAGTACCTACTGTGTAAGTACTGACACAACTACGTAGTAGTAGTAATACACAACGAAGGGCAGTCCCGCCCGGAAGTTCTGAAGGCAACCCTTGAGCATGCTCTTAATTAGACAGGCCCACCACACCACACCTCCCTCCTCCACCGCGACCGTTCCAGCAACGCATCCTGGCACAAACGCGGAGCGCAAACAGGCACGCCTGACGCCGCACTGCCAACGGGGAACCGGCTGGCCGGAACCCGTGCCGCGGCGCGAGGTGGGCTCTGACTGCCTCCGTGCCCAGGCGTGGAGGCGCGCTCCATTTTAGCTGTTCCTAGTGCCCCGCTATCCTGAAGGGTTTCTGAACTTTCTCTCTTTCTCTCTCTCTCTCTCTCTCTTTTTTTTTTTTTTTTTTTCTCGTTCTGAACTTTCCATCCCTCCATACGGACAGATTCTTTGGAACCACAATCGTCTTTGCCATATTCTCGTCTTTGGTCAGGGGTCAAGGAGCGATAAAGGAGAGACTGCAAGGTACCTACTTTATGTGGCATGAGAGACGTGCGTCGGAAATTCCCTACGAGCGTCTACTCCATGGCCATCATCGTTGACGGTTCGCTACAACGGGCAACGCCTTACCAACATCAGATGAAAGCCTGTACTCCGTAGGCCGATAGCATACGGCTTATCGTTGCAACGTCAATGGAGGGGTAAATCAACGACAGGTTCCCAAGTCGGCCGTTCCGGTCATGTATTTTGCTCTGGCTTGGCAGGCCTTGCCCTATGCCGAAGATTCAAATGAAGGGCACCGAAAGCCCGGGTTGGATTGGGTCCTGGGCTCCTGGCGACATCTTCTCCTCCCGGCTTCCTTTCGTTGGCCTGGACCACTTCTGATTCTGGATCCTCTTCCGGCGTCCGCTCGTAGGGTTAATAAATTGCCAACCTGCCAGGTAGATGGCGGGGGCATGGCTTGCCCTTGGGTTAAGTTGGATTCGAAGGGCCCATATATCACAAGAGAGGGACTATTGCAGGTGGTAAATGGAGTGCCGGACTGGGGTGCATGTTAGCCCCGTCGCGTGGCGGCCGGAGACGGAGCTGGATCATGGAGGAGAACTCTGAGCTTGAAGTTGTATGCCCGCGATTTTGAGTAAGGTAAGGTAAGTACGGTGTGCAGTACTCCCTCAAGGTATCGGGTTCCTAGATTCCCAAGGCGCATATCCGTGGTAGACACGTCAATGCGTTGGGGGAAAATGGCTTTGTCGGTGAGGCCCATTGCTTCTAGATTTGTCTCTTGTGCCAGCAGCACGTCTCTCAAGGCTTATCTGGCATGCACCTGCGCCGACTTCGCGAAGCCTTGCGGCATCAGAGGCGAAATCGTCAATATGAAGCGGGTGTCGTGAGCGTAAAAGACAATAGAAGAGGGGATGTCCACTTTCTTGCTGCGACCCAGCAGTCGAAGCGCAAGAGTTGTTAGTTTGCTCTCCACCGATATGTCAGGACTTGCCCTTTCGGATCTCTGACCCTTGAAATTGAGTTTCTGTCCGCCATTTCGTGTACCCACTCCGACATTTCGTCGTTCGAGACCGACAAGGTGAGAGACGCGCCTACAAGGACTCACCGCATCGTTGGTGCTTGAAAAGCGATGTGATGCCCCTCCAGAGCCCAGGGTTTTGTACATGCTCGATAGGAACCTGGTTGATTTTGCGCTTTTGTCCCTGCCGTTCGAGGGCCCCGGAAGCGCCAGTTCACGACATCGACGGGGGGGGGGGGTTGCTTGAGGGCGGTGACGCCTAGGACGGTGAACTGTAAGTGTAAGCGAGCGAGCGATAGGCCTTGCAAGGTCTAGGATGAGAGCACCCGTAGCGCAGCATGATGCGTGATAGCGAATTCTGGGTCATGATCCATGGTTCAGACTTCAGAGAGGGGGAGGGGCGCGGCGGTCGAGACTCGAAGTTCAAGTTGCACGTCTCTGGAGGGGGAGGGACCGGAGGGCGAGGGCAGATTCGTGGCGTCAGGGATGCGAATGAGAAAGCCGAAAAATCAACGAGGCCGATAGGACCAGAGCGGATTCTCTGAGAGTTGTGAGGATATCCATGATCCGTACGGATACCATGTTTGACATATCGTGACATGCAAATAATAATCGCAGTGGAGCGTTGATCGATTGCCCCTAGACTTCGGGCGGCGGGTTGGCGACATGGACAGGTCAGTAAGGAATAGATCCAGAATGACGGGACATTTGCAATGGAAGCATGAGACCCAGTCATAGAAGGCGTGTAGAAAATTGTGTAACTCGCTTGGACAGGATAACGGGATTGAGGAACAATGTGGTACATCCATGAACAAACCCCCCCCCCCCCCCAACCAGGGCCCCAAAGGTTCTACACTACATAGTATGGACCGTTCAGGACCGTAGGCTGGAGGAGAACAGGGAAAGGGGTTTATTTGACGTGTAGCAACATGATGAAATGACTTGGGAGTTGGCACCATTTACAACACGAGAGGTGGAAACTTGTCAAGTTCGAGGGACAACAAAGCGTGTCAGCTTGAGGGAAATGGGACCAGCCTGCGCCGCACTTGAACTTCCAAACTCGCCTGGAAGGTGGCAGCAGGTAGCACTGGCACCAGCCTCAGTCTCTGTCCCTCCATTCAAGTTGTCCTCCGATAGCAAGGTACGAAGTACCTGCAGGGCATGTCTTTCTCAGCGCAACAGGGACTCGGAGGGCCATGATACCGAGGACCTGATTCATTGCCAGGTCCCTGATTGTGCAAGGGATGTGGAAGAGAGTCATAGCAGAGTTGGAAAAATTTTCTCATCCGTATCAGAGAGCGGGAGGCAACCTCAATTTCCGTAGGCGACAAGGCCAAGGGAAAAGAAAGCAAACAGTTGAGTCAGAATGGGAAGCGGAAAAAAATAAGAAAAGAAAAAAAGCGAAAGGGGGGCGGGCAAACGAAAAAGGGATGAGACTCATGAGAGAAAGGAGGGGGAGGGGCTCGAGGACCGAGGGGCACACTTGTGACTGACTACCTAGCCGTACTGACCAAGTGCATCGAGAGTCGAGACAACAACGTCGACATCATCTCGTTTGGCGAAGATCGCGGGAGCGCTTCCGTGGCCCGCGATGGAGCCGTGGGTCGGTTGTCGCCTTTCTCATTCCACTTGTTGATTATGCCCAAATCTAATACTCCGTACGGAATAGTACACAATGGTCTGTGTTGCGCATAGCGGCATGGCTGGTCATGGCCATGCTTCGTATCATTTCAGATCGTCTTGTCGTCTCCTTTTTCGATCTGCTGCCGCCGGCGACCACGACCAGAGCCCTGTCTCTGGAGTTCTCTCTGTCACCATGTCGGTCAACTAATGTAAACAGGGGGATACGACCCGCTTGCCCGGATGCTTGTCGGCGGTCGCAGGTGTACCGTTTGGTAGTCGAGCAAAAAAACAAAGTGTTCCCAAGGATTCCAGGACCCAAGCAGGGCTATTGAGCATCTTGCATCAAAACAAGTCCCGACCGCTTCAGACCTTACTGACCGCCTTTGAGGAATGAAAGAAACGAAGAGGCGGTCGGGCATCTGGCATCCCGAGTGATAGTTAGTAAGTGTGGCTCTCTCTCTCTGTCTCTCTCTCTCATGGCCATGGGCCTTTTTCAAGAGACGACGTGTCTGTGTGTCCGTAGGTCGTGTCTCATCAACGATGATTCAGGCGCATCCCAAATCGAACTACAAAAAATGCGTCCCGCTCTCTCGGCCGGGTACTAAGGTAAGTCGCGGTACGCACGCGGCAGCGGTGCGGGTGCGGGAAGCGGTACGGGTTGACGGGTATCCCAAACGCAAGCCCAGCCCAGCCCAGCCCAGCCCAGCGCAGTGGTTCAGTTTTCTGTCATTCTTGTTTTACTATGCAGTATGCTCTCAACGCGTCTGGTTGCGTTTTGCCTTGATGGTGGTGATTGGTCAATGCAAGTCGAGTAGGCGCGGCGCGTGAACACCGCGTCCTTGAGCCACGTTTGAAATGGTACAAGACCCACACAACCGCCGTGGTCCATAGAATTGGCCGTTTGGCGTTTGCTCATCCAGCCGTGTGCCAGCATCCACCCACTTCAGACGTGCTGTGACATAGAACCGTTTTCCCACCTCCGCGATGCGAACACCAGCAACAGGTGCATGTGAGCTGCAGCCTGAGACCCGCCGCGAGAAGAACGGCGGGTCGGCCTTGGAGTGGGACTCTGGGAGGATGCCTTAGTGCACATATTGGAGCACATCCTCAGCTACTATGTACACTACTCCCTGCTTGTTTCCACAAAGTGCACGTGTATTGGACCGCGTACTTGTCCTCGACCTGCACGAAGGAGGTACACAGGGATACCTCTCCTCACCGCCGTGAGTGACAGGATGGGTCGCCGTCCACGGGAACAAGCATGTATTCCGCCGGCGCGCGTTAGTGCAGCTTGTCGAGACACGTATCATCCGAGTACCGGATGCACCCTGACCGCGCTGATGTACCGTCCGGGGACCGGGAGACGGGGTCTCTGCCCATTGGCTCGAGGTAGGGGATGCCCGGCAAGAACTTGCTGCTAATCCTAGCTTGTCCGTTAGAGCTCCATCCCATCCATCCCATCCCATCCTGTTGGACGGTCTTGCCAGCTGGGTATCCTCGAAACCTTGACCAGCACAACCAGCACTCCACGATCAGCTACCAGCTTCACATGGCGCAGACAGAGCCCTAGGCAAGAATCAATCAGCAGCTGTCCATCCACTTTGCTGTACGGATATTGAGTATTGGTACTTGATATAAACTGAGACTTTACCGCAAGATCGTATCCGTACAATGACAATGACACAAATAGCGACAAAGGAGGAGGGGTTGATGACCAGCCAGGTGGGGGTTTGGTCATACTGATGAGGGGCTCTCTGAGGAGTCGGAGACGCGGGAGGGGACCACAGAATCATTGGATTCTGGAAGCTGTGTAAGGCTTCTTCTCTGGCCAGGCCTTTCGCGACTCGCCCCTTGTTCATGTCCTCCCTTTCGAGTTCCGGAGCCGGGGCGAAATTGCCAACCAAATCGGCGGTCCGGGTTCTAGCGAGGCTAGGCCGGGAGGGGCAGCGAGCTGCTGGGACAGAGGGGAACCCCCAAGTTGTTCGTAACTGCAATTTCTTTTCCACGTCGCCTCTCTTCCAGCCTCGGGTTCTTGCAAGACGGTAATCTGCGAGCCTCTCTCGGTAGACACATGGGCGACGTCAGTACTCGTTAACACCCGCCTTCCTATTAAGCAAGGCATGTTGTTTCGCTTGATCCAGAAGCAAGTATTGATGAACCAGGATAACATGGCCCAGTGTGCAACTGGGAAGCGACTAGTCGCCTGTCAACTGGCCTTGAGCTACAATGTCATGTCGTTGCATGCCTTATTATTAGTAAGGTGAGCGAGCTATGGGACGGGACGAACTGGTGAAGCGGATACCATGCATATCTTGACTTACCTTGCCATTCAGCTGTTCCGCCTTTCCTCTCACACCGCACACCTTTCATCACGCCGTCTTTCCTCTTTTTCCTTCTAGCTGGATGGCCTGAAGTTTCGAGCCTTGAGTTCTCTGGACAGCTCAACGATGATGACCCAACCGGCCACATCATCGTCCCTGGATGCTTCCCGTCATCAAGCCCAGGGCACTTGGGACCAGCACATCAATGCTTGCCTTAGTGTCGCGTACCACTGCCTTGGTCCAGTCCACCCCGAATGGGACCCCCCTAAATAGCCCGGAAGTCCAGCACCGCTTGCCATTAGCCCGTGTGCTGTAGTCGTGTATAGTGCTCTATATGTGCGTTTTCGTAGGTGCTCAACTGAACTGGCTCATCGGCCGACTCTTTGTCATGGGCTCACGCCCCCCTAGACGTCTTGACGCACCCCAGCAAACATCCTTGAAGCGTCCCATAACCCGGCCATCCGCCCTTTGGTTTCCCCTGCCATGTTTCTGTGGGTACTGGACACCGGGGTCGTGGTGTCTGAAAGTGGCTAGTTGTGCTCCGGACGGATCGGGTGCGTGCCAGGCCTTGCAAATCTCGTGCGCTCCATTTCATCGTCCCGCGGGCCAAAATCTGAGCGCTGTAATTTTGGTCGGGATGACAATGGCGGGACGAATAGTCGATACTTTGCGTAATGGTATGGTGCACTGCGTGAGCTCAGGTACCGCCTTCGAACGCCTGTGCTGTTGTTGATGGCTTGATGCCTCTGTGCTCGAGGGCAGGCAAATCCATCGATTCCATCCTCGTGATTGCTAAATGTAGACAGACAGAGCACTAGCGGCCGCGAGAGGAAGCTGTGCCCCCTAGTTTGGCGACAAAATTTTTACTGGCAATCCCTGAATCCTCTACGTGCCATGTTGCGTCGTGTTCGTAAGGGGGCCAGCCGATACGGACAGACAGTGATGACTGGGCCCTGCTCTGTCGAGCGGGATGGGATGGTGAGCGACGGTGTCTGTACGAATAGAGCAGGAATATTATCCCTCTCGAGCTTGAGTGGCTGGTAGTTGCCCCTATCCGTTCGTTTGTCTCTTGACCCCTAAAATTGTCTTGGATGGTGATGATGATGGCGAGCCGCGACACGATCCAGTTAGATTCCTCGCCTCTTGTGCGTCAGACGAGATGAGGGTATTATATGGATACAATGATGCATACCTTCATGGTTCCGAGAAATTTGATGGAAATTGGACGAAGGCAAACTAATTGCGTGGGCTGGATGGATCGTGGAGATGGTTCGGAGTTTTGGCAACTTTGGTACTCGGTCACGAATATGATGCGGCGAGGTTCGATGCTATTCGATTACTTTCAGACTCTCGTCGACTCGTGCTGTGATTGAAATGAGACATTTGAAGGCTGACTGGAGAGCTGAAGCTGGAAGTTGGAGCTAAAGTTGGATGCCCTGCGTGATGCAGAGTGGCAGTGAATGAAAGAAATGTGAGGTATCTATCTGTAAGGCCAGAAGTATCTTGTGCGCAAAGTTAGACAAGAGAGTGACATGGAAGTGGGATCGTCAGTGCCTGCTTACATAGCTTCGGCCCTCCCTTCCCGTTCCCTACCAGTCTATCCGTAATAGGGGAGGTAGCTAAAAAAGAGCGTTTGCATTCCGCCTCTGACATAACAGCACAGCAGGTCAGGTACGGGAGTACTTGTGGAAATACAGGCAGAAGCACGAAAGGTAGGTATGTAGAAATGGAGCCAGGAAGTGCTAACCGACCTGAACCTTACCTCCCGTCATCTGCTGTGAAAGTGAGGAGGAGTGGGTGCGTACCTCCTTCCCTGCTCGGAGTGGAAGCAGGTGGTTTTTATTTTTGTGGACAGCATGCGTGTGCGGCGTGCCTCTGTGCAAGTGTGTGCATTGGTGCCAACAGCATTGCAGCGGCATTGGTTCTACCTAGTCTACCTACGGAGTACTGTATGTATGTATGTATGTATGTATGTATGTATGTATGTATGTATGTATGTATGTATGTATGTATGTATGTACCTTCCTGCTTCCTTACCTTAGGTCATCCAACCTGAGGTTACGAATACAACGACAGCGGAAGCAACAGCAGCACGACAGGGTCAGCATGGAATGACAGTGCAGGAGGAGGCAGTGGAAGAAGACGGGAGGAAAGAAAAGAGGAGGCGGAGAAGGTCAAGGACAGACTACCTAATTACGAAGCCGAAGCCGATGAAAAGACAGACAGACGTATCCGTCCGGTACCTTGGAGCCAATCAATTGCTGGAGGACTCATCACCTCTACATACAGCAGCTTGCCGTCCCTCCTCTTTCTCATCTTTCCCCCCTCACTTTCAATGGTTCGCTCGTAGGAACTTGTAAGTTGGTTGTCACAGGAAGAAGCAACAGCACAGCGCAGCACAGCAATGGACGCAAGCACCGTCGCCGAGGCCCCCTCCTCTTCTCCCGAGTCCCCCCCCCCCTTCTATTCGTATCGTGGCGGGTTACCCCTCTCCACTCCCACTCACTCGTGACCTCCAGCTGGCCGCGGACGTGGACTCTGACGGCGCGGTGGTAAGGTACGTGTACGCAGTAGTCACTGGTGCACCTGCTTTGCGGCCTTGCCATGCTCGCTCGCCCTGCTCATTCGGGGTTACAGGTTGGCTGGTCGCCGGTTGCTGTGTCGCTGGCAGGCCGCTTGGAAGGTAGACGACAGGGGGGTCTGTCGTCCACCCATCCACCCAACCTCAGGTACCTTAACTACCATAGGTATGTACCTCAACCCATCCACTCCCGCTTCAGGGCTCCCCTCCCCCCCCCCCTCTCCACTACATCCTCGGCCAGCAGGCCCAAGGATAATGGACCGCCGCCCAGCACCTCCAGTTCGGATCCCAACTCACACATCCCTCCCTTGCTCATTCTGATGGAGCCGGCCCAGCAGGCCCAGGTCGGATCTATTCTGCTGTTCTGGTGGCCCGGTGAACAAACACTGGAGCCCGTTCCAGTTTCCTAATCCCTCCCTTCCCGTCCTTCTTCCCCCCTCCCCTCTCTCTGCGATGTGTGCATTGTGGCCCTCCTACTCCTCTCCTCCCCCTCCTTCGTCCATCTCAGTGAGTCGCAGTGGGGTCCAATGTGCTTGGATTAAGATGAATAAATAAAGATACAAAAAAGTGAAGGGGAGGAAGAGCTGTAGCCGGATGTACCTCTCAGGTTGTTGTGTCGACCTTCCTTACCTGTGCTTGCCTGAGGAACCCTGCATCTGAGATACATTGCCTTAGGTACATCTGAGCAGCTAAAGGAAGTACCTACCCAACCCACCTCGACTTTTCCACCTTAGCTATCAAAGTATCTTTCCTCAGGTATTTACCCACCTGGCAGAGAACCATCGATAGAAGACATCCGGCAGTACGTACCATGCCACTTGCTGCTGCCCGCCTCTTTCCCGCCTGTTCCAAGTGAGGTGAGGCGGGAGAGGACACCCAAGAGACGGGGGGAAAGGTACTTCGTCCAATGTACCTGTCCCTCTTCCATTTTCCAGCTTCGGGCCATCGTCGTCCTTCTGGTCTCTCCCCTCTCTTCTCGCTCTCTCTCTCTCTGCGCTGCTCTCTGCGCCCTGTCTGGCCCCCCCTCCCCTCTCTTTCGTGCTCTCTTGCGCTCCCTCCCCCCTCCCCTCCTATCCAATGTGTCCACCCCCTCCAATTCACCAAGTCCCTCCCACTGTCGCAGTCCAGTGTCCCCACCGTTCTCACCAGAGACGCCTCTTTTCCTCTTCTTCTCCCCTCCTACTTTTTCTTCGATTCCCCCTCTTCCATTTTTCTCTCCCACTCTCGTGATCATCATCCATCTCCAACACGCAACCCAACGCGCGCACTCTTCGCCTTTCCCGGCCCATCATCACGACTCAAGCGCGCCTGTCGCCTCTAGACACGCCGCTTCAACACTGGCTACTCGCCAGCTTTTTCCCTTCAACCACACATACGTCCTTCCTATGACCAGAATATCGAACCAAATGATCAGCAACATCTACCAGTCTAATCAAGACACACTTTAAACTCCACGGGAGCGCGCCGAGCGAGGAGGAAACCCTAGGAGCCGGGCGATTTCAACCATCGTTTTCAACAACAAGAGAGCCGTCGTGCACATCGTCCAAGCCGTCACATCTGTTCGTCGCCGTCGTCGTCGTCGCAACAGCTGGCCCAGCCACCCGACATATCTTCAAAAATCACGACCACCACCCGAGCCTTCAATATGCCTGGCGCAAGCGTCGCAGTCCTTCCGACGTCAGCATCTTCGACGCCGGCCTCGCGAAAAGCCTCACTCGCACCGGAACGCAAGTACAAGTGCCAGTTCTGCAACAGAGCCTTCAGCAGGAGTGAGCACCGCAGCAGACATGAACGATCCCGTAAGTGCACCTATCTTCCCGGAACCCCTCTTCTCCCCTCCTCCTCCTACATCCCAAAGCTTCCGCTCGACTGGGAACCCCTCGCGACATTAAGCAACCCCTCCTTTCGACCTTGCCTCGATGCGTCATGCGACAACAATTCCACGCAAAGCAACATTCGTATCCAGTTGTCTTCACTTCGATTCATTTTGCTAATTCAACTCCTTCTACTAGACACCAAAGAGCGCCCCTTCAAGTGCATGAAGTGCCGCAGCACATTCGTCAGACGCGATCTTCTCCTTCGTCACGATCGTACCGTGCACGCCAAAGACGGAGGTGTTCCTCTTCACAGCGATGGCAAGAGACGTTCAGGCCCGAAGACGAGAGCTATCGGCGGCCCAGCCAAGACCCCCATGCTTGACCAGTCCGCGATAGACCAGATTGAAGCCGCTTCTCACGATGGCACCTTCGATCTCGAGACAGCCGCCATGCTGGTTGCAGACTTTCAACACAAGGCCGCCGCCGGCGCACGCGCAGGAGGCAGTCCATCGATGCCCTACTCGCCACACGCCATGGATTCGTCTGCCACCTACCCTTCAGGTGCCATACCTGTTCCCCAGTGGGAGAGCTTCATGTCTCAATCGTCAGAAGCAAAGGCGCACTCCATCGCATCATCAGCATCTGGCTCGTTCGAGTCTCAGCAGTCTTTCAACAGCACGAACACCATGCAACCTCGCAACGTTCAGCTTCCGCCCATCAACGGACAGACTTGTAACGGCCTCGTTCCGGCGCTGCAGTCCATGATCAACTCACTGCCAAACTCCGAAGCTGGTACGCCTGTGCCGCAAAGCCCGTTCGTCACCGAGGCGACCTTGTCAACTGCTGGATTCCGTGCCCCTCAGGTTGCGAGCGACGATGAACGCAACCAGATTCTCGACAACATCCGCGCGCAAGACACTGAGCATGCTATCCCCGATGGCTTCCGCCTCCCCAACCTGGCCTCTTTGAACCGCTTCTTATCAACGTACTTTGGGCTGTTCCACCACCATCTTCCATTCCTGCACCCTGCGTCCTTTGACTCGACCAAGGTGTCTCCGGCTCTGCTTCTCGCAGTGCTGAGCATCGGCGCGCTCTACGCATTTGACCAGGATCAGGCCTATATGATGCACATTGGATCCAAGGTGCTCGTCAACCAATTCCTGCAGAACAAGGAGAACTTTAGCTCGCGCAAGTGCCCTCTGTGGACGATGCAGGGCTCGCTTCTCAACATGATATTTGCCAGCTGGAGTGGTGATCCGAAGGGACTCGAATGGGCATGCTCTATCAAGAGTCTGCTCGCCAACATGGTTGCGGGAAACCGTTACGAGCTCAAGCTTCGTCAGGAAGCCCGCAACAGCGCTCAGCCTACCCGCAGCGAGTGGATCGAGGATGAAGGTTGCCGCCGCACCTACTACGCGGTTTACATCTTCTTTGGCCTGCTCACCTTGACGTACAACCACACACCGGCAATTAGCTTCAACGAGTTTGAGGACTTGCAGCTCCCTTCCACCGAGGGACTCTGGAACCTCAAGGTCACGGACGAGGCCTCTTGGCACGAGCATTTGAAGGCGTCGCCTGTGGTCACTTTCATGGAGGCGCACGACAACCTGTTCCAGGGAGAGACACTCAGGTACAGCGCGTTTGCGTCGCGGGTAATGATCAACGCCCTGTTCCTCGAAGTGTGGTACCACAAGCGCAGTCCCGAGGCACTTCAGGATGTTGTGACCGAGTACAAGCTCAGACTCGCGCTGGAGACGTGGGAGAAGTCCTGCGAGCTCTGCGAGCCTGAGAATGTTTCAGTCCCACTGAGTGCTCCTCACAAGGGACACCCTCTCATCTTCAATGCCAAGGCTTTGTACCGGAACGCCAGGACTCGCTTGGAAGTTGATCTGAAATCTGTGCAAGAGGCGCTGCGCTACCACGATTCCTATGAGGTCGCGGCTGCCATGTCAGCCGCGCGGGATCGCGTGAAGCGCTCCAGTGAGATGATCAAGGTCATTCAGGAATGCTACAACTGTATCGAGATTGCCGTGGTCCAAGGCGTGCGCTGGGTTGCACGAACTTCGCCGACTAACTGGAGCGTCGAGCATGCCTTGTGTGGTCTTGACCTCATGATTGTCCTCTCGCTCTGGCTCTACCGTCTGGAACATGACGAAGAGCCAGCTACAGAGGAGGAACTGGCCATGTACAACAAGGTTCGACAGCTCTTCGACAAGGACCTCGACGAGGCCTATGCTTCCCAGCTTAGCTCTGTTGTTGCCCGTCTGTGGGGCAGCATGTTGGACGAGGTCGTGGTCTGGGGGTAAGTGACTGTTATCACCCTTCTATAAAAGACTAGATGGCTAACAAGACTCTAGAATCACCCGACTTATGGGAGAATCCTTCCGCCTGCACGCACAAGCACTCGTCGGCTACCAGGTCGAAATGGAAGCTTCCTCGAGCGTGTCGACCCCTTCGATGATCTCGCAAGGGGCCGATGAGGATAGCGTGTACTAGTCACAAGATGATTGAACGATTTCCTATGTCTTTCCTTTCCTGAATGGTTTTTCCTTGCGCTTTTTTCTCCTTGGCATATACCTCTTCGTCTGATGGGTTTCGGCGTAACGGATCTGGAGTGGTTGATCGAACACTCCCTCTCGGTCTGAGGCTTATTCCCCTTGACTTTGCAGGGGACAGGCGTCACAGAAGAGAGGCTTTTGAATTTTTGGGATGATCATTACGCGTATACCGGCCTGCTCAGCTGGTCTTTTTAGTATCTTGTTTCCTTGGATTGGTTTTCCTTTTGAGCGTCCCAGCATTGGACATGGTCACGGCAACAACGGGGCAGGTAAACGGTGAAGGGTGGGGGGGCATTGGGTTCGGCACGGATTCCTGGGTAAAGCAACCCTAGGATATTGGGATAATTCGGGCCCTGCTCACGCATCCCAGAGACTGCCTCAGGGCACTGTTGGCTGGTCCAGGGTGGGCTTGGTGATGACTGTTGCGCGTTTGTTCTATTAGCTCATACTAATGTTTTGTGCTGCTGATATCCATTTCATCTTTCTCTTCTCCTTCGTCCTTTCTTCTCTGCTGATATTGCGTCTACTTGTTGATCTCTACTCTGTTCTCTCTCCTGCTTTTGTTATGCGCTGTTTCCTATCATTGTTATCTTTCGCTTCGCTTTGCTCAGATACCTTGTTCGATATACAGATTGCAGTATTTGCTTATCCTGGAATTTATGTCTACTCTGATTTGATCATCTGCCGTGTAAATTTGTCTTGGCATGAGCGGATTGTATGGGAGACAGATGCTCACCATGGCTGGCTTGGATGTGTACTCTCAAGACAAGAGAACCAACAAGCCTGGCTTAATCAGAGACGGGGGAGAAAAAGGTGTGGAGATGGTTCTTGAGCGCAAGTGTATAAATAGTTTCCTGTCCGTTCAGCATATTTATGAATATCACTTCTCATTGGCATTACATGATGAACTTCCTGCGCACTGGAGTGAGGCGACTCTGAGGTATTTATGTGTCTACGCCTTTGCTTGATGACAACATTCCATCATACATTCCACCATACGCGCTAGAGGGCCTTTCTACCCCACCAGAAAGTCCAGGTAGCTTGGCGACAAAGAGATCAACTTTTGACGTTGGGCGTAGGCCATAACAAAGAACTTGGGAAGGATGAGGTAGTTCGAGCGGAGCCGGGGCTGGACGCTAATGGGCAGTCTCCAGAGAATGAGCGGGCTTGTCATAAGAAGCAAGTGCAGCCATGGGTTTCGTCCTACGATGCTGGAGGGTGCAGAAAATTTGGTTGATGACGGAGGGCCCTCGAGACAGCGTACCGTGACGAAAGTTGCTGATGGAATTATAGTCGCTGCGTGGCAAATGGTGTCAAGCGACATCACGTCTGGATTCCTCATCTTCTTGCATTCTTATAGGACACGAGGCTTCTATCCTAATACATACTGTATTCAGAACTTGTCGCCAACCGAGTCCCAAGTGCAATCGCTTAGCTTCTGCGGCACATAGCCATTCTCTGTGCAAAGGCCATCATACAAATGTCCCGTAGTGTCGATTGAGGTGAATCAGATCAAGACGAGATAGAACTTGGGATAGCTGAAGTGGCGGCAAGAGAACTAACTGCCTCGTGATATCCACGATATACTGGGCCCCCAGGATAAGCACACGATAGAAGGCATGCTCTTTGAATTTGACAGAGCCTCTTTCTTGAGAGCTGATGGGCCAGCGGAGCTGCTTTCATTGTCTTCTGCTCTCTGAGACAGCCGGCAGCCCATCGGCGGGGTTTCTAGCCTAGTGGCTTTGACCTCTCACTCACCCCGCCCATGCCTTGACGAGAGATAGAGAAGGGGGGGGGGGGACGGCAGTGAGAAAAGCTTCTTTGGTCTTGTCTCCAAGCCCGACTTGGGGCTCCAGCATTGCTACGGCACTCTATGATCCGTCCAATCCCAAGGTAGAACGCGGTGTGTTGCGCGGGTTCCTGCAGGGCACACGATACGACGTCGAGGCGACACGACGTAACACCACATGTGGCTGGCTTCCGCCGGAGCGAAAATTCCACCCAGCCCAACCCGAAGAGAACTGAACGGGGGACAGTCAACACACACACACACTCTCTCTCTCTCTCTCTCTCTCTCTCTCTCTCTCTCTCTCTCTCTCTCTCTCTCTCTCTCTCTCTCTCTCTCTCTCTCTCTCTCTTTTTGGAAGTTCTTCTGCCCGTTCTTACCAACGACTCCCCTTCTTTGTTCCAAGCAGTCGCTATTCTTACCCGCGTTGTGTTTCAAAGCCGCTTCTGGCATCGCGGTGATGGTGGACGAGAAGCTTGAGACACCAGCCGTCAGTCAGGGCCACATGGTTCATCTTTGATGGGACTATTGTTTCCCTCCACTTGAACAACGGTTGACAACGATGCCGTTATATTCGAACGTCGTGTCGAACGTCGAGGGCTGTTCCTTTGTCTGTCTTTGATCCTTTTGCCAGCCCCTCCCCTTGGTGCTCCTGACTTCGAGTCCGTCCGTTGAACCAGTCCGTCTAGGGAGGGCTTCGGGTGTGTGTGATGGGTGCCTACATTGGGAAAGTTGGAGGGGAGGGTTGTATTTTCGGCATCCGTAGATGAAGCAGCACCCCGTTCAGCTAGAGGCACTGGCACGATGATTTGGTTGCACCGCATGGCCCTCCGCTCTCTAGAGCTACTACATAGTCTACCGATGATCCTGCCCATCCTTCGACTTTTTGTATCTGCCTGCTCATCCGTTTGTTGTTGGTGTTGTAGTGTTCCATCTTGCGCCGTTGCTTCGTCTCTGTTCTTCCACTCGCGCCTCATTTACCCTTATCTTCGTCTGGGTGTCACCCTTTGCTTCACTTGCATCCCGTCATCCTTTAGCCTCTCCTCATGTCTTGACTGTGTCAAAGACGTGCTTGGACCGGCTCTACTACTTCTCTGTCAAAAACTTTGGAGGATTGTACTACTCTGGCAGTAGTAGAGATATTCACATCCTCACGTCACTTACATGGTCCCGCAAAGACCAATAACAATCTCTCCTTACACCCACCTTCATACATCTACATATATCACCACATATTCACTATGAGAAATCCTACAACAGCGTGCCTGCTTGCGGCTAGCTTGCTCTCAACCCTCGTACGTGCGGCCTGCGAATGCGGGTATGCGACCAATATCACCGGCACCATGGAGGTCTTCACCGACCTCATCGAGACAGACTTTACCAAAGTCAAGAACATTACAAAAAACACGGACTGGGTCCGTCAAGAGTTCAACAAGACAAACACAAACGCCCGCGGACCCCTGGGAGAAAAGTTCATGACCGAGAACGTCGCCTCCGTCCACGAAGGGTCGAGCTCGTTCGGGCTCAGCTCGACAAAGGCCGACGCCGGACTGCAGCTTCTTGTCGAGAGCGCCACGACGAATGGCCTGGTGCCAGGCGCGGAGATCGACTCGGCGCGTCAGGATGTGCAGTATGGTTCTTTCAGGGCGATGATGAAGATCCCGGATGTTGCTGGGACATGTGCTGCCTTCTTCTGGGTACGTTGCCATTGCCACAAACCCCCCTTTACGTCTTATATCAAGTCCACTAACATTAAGAACAGTACCATAATGACACACAAGAGATCGACATGGAGTTCCTCACAAGAGAATTCAACTCGTCAAACAACACTTACCCCGTCAACATCGTCCTCCAGTCCCGTGCCTCGCTCGAAAAGGGCTACAATGCCGCCGACACGGGCAACTTTTTCAAAGTCAACCTCGGCTTCGACCCGACCGCGGCCCTCCACGAGTACCGCATCGACTACCTCCCCAACGCCGTCACCTTCTACGCCGACGGGAAAGTACTGGGCTCCATGAACGGCAGCGCCGTGCCCACGGAAGGGGGCCACCTGATCCTCCAGCACTGGAGCAACGGGAATCCGCTCTGGTCGGGGGGCCCGCCCAAGCAGGATGCCATCTTGACGGTGGCGTCGGTCAGGGCCTACTTCAACTCGTCTCTTGACGCGCGAAAGACCGACCACGAGGGCCGGTGCGCGGACCCGACAGCGCCGGACGCCGTGTGTATCATCCCGGATGCGCCCGACTTCTTCTTCACGAAACAGACCAACATGACCAACAACCAGACTGTTTCTGGAACGCCAGGCTCTGGTGGAGCAGGTGGTAGTGATGATGGTGGTGTTGCAGCCGCTGCTGGGACATTAGAGGCGCCGTCGTGGTCTCTGGCCATTGGGTTGTTCCTTTTGGGGATAGGGTTCATCTGATCTTTCGCTTTATGTCTTCTTCATTCGTCCCGGCAGGTTGGGTCTTCTCAGTCTTCATTTCTCGGGTAATGGGGGGTTTACGAATTCTCTTTTTCTTTTACCGGCATAGCATGAGGCGTCTCTGGGTCTTGTGTTTTGATCTGAAAAGGAGGGCAGGCCGTCAGGCGACCATGCGCTTCGTTCATCAGACGATGTTACTTCTTTACTACTTACGATGACCACGAATGATGTCCACTACTCGTTCCTACAAGACTACGTTCTGCCATTTGATGACTTGACCATTACGCTGTGATATGCCAAGGGACTTGGTTTCCCAAGTGAAGAACCGTTCTCATGATGAGGCGGGCGCCAAATGTGGCAGGCCCTTTGATCATAAAGGAGCTGATAGATCGGATGACCAAACAGTTCGTCGCAGAAAGGGAAGTTCTCTCAGATTCCCATCAACGACGTATGAGACGTCAGCTAATATTGCAACACTTCCGAGACCACCAAGGGCCCAAAAAGGCGAATCATTGCTATTCCGCGCTAAGCAGTAAGCAATAGGTTCAACACATGTAGTCGAGTAGCCTGTCATCTGACCCAACTTTTGACAGCCAGACGATCTAAACCACCGGCAATCAAGAATGTCTCGCGATTCCCCAGGAAAACGCGTCTCCAAAAATTGTTCCTTGGAGGGGGATCAGCCGCCCGCACATGCATGCGCTTTAGCCCCCCCTCCATACCCCAAAAGAAGGCACATGAACAAGGAGTGATCGACGACGAACTGGCCTCTCACCGTCCGCCTCGGAGGCTCCCGCAGCTGTTCAATAGCGTCGCCGGGAGTTGGGGCGCAACCTTCAGGATTACTCTGTCGAGTCAAGTTGAAGTCTCTTCATCCATCCCGAGCGGCGGGTGATCGGTTCCCACACCCCACAAAGGTTTCGAGAAAAGAGCCCGGACCGCGACGTTATTACCCCAGGCTTTGTGGTTCTGACTGCAGGATGCAGATATTGGTCAGTTACTCGGGTTCCAGTGCCGTGAGTGCTTTCCGGGTGGATATCTGGACAACCACCGATACCCTTTTGAACGAGCAATGCTTGTCTGCATCCGCACTCACCCTCCTCTCACTTACACGAGACGGGCGTGAAAAAGAACTGCGCCGCTTTCTTACACTCCACCAGTCCTGGAAAACTAAGGCATAACACCTCACCCAAGACCACGAGGATGAGCCTTATGAGGAGTCTACCGTCTGCCGGCCGAAGCGTGGAGCCGTCTCGTCACCAAATGAAAAACCGGGCAAGACAACACGTCCATTGCTAGTGGGGTCAAGAGGCGAACTAGTCCCGCATATCCATGTCGACGATTCCGTCATGTCCAGCCCGTGCCAGCAAAGGGAGGGAGAATCCAACACATCACACTTGCGCGTCGCGTATCCGTACTGGGCTGTTTATAACCAGTTCCGAGTCACCCAATAGTCACCTGTAGATCCTGTTGGAGGGCAGGGGGCTCCAAAAGAAAACTTGCACATGGCCACCCTAGCTAAGAGGTATTAGTCGCGCCTGTCGACGTTCCAAGGTACAGGCCCATCAAGCTTGGAACCGGAGGGGATCCCGCCTTGGATAATAAAAAGGCTTGAATCGTCATCCTTTGTCGGGAAAATAGCTTGACAGTCCTTGGCCCACCAGAGAAGAGACATAGAACAGAAAACACAGCAGCATATCAAGGCGTAAGAGAAGAAGCCATGACGAGATCAACCCTCGATATCGTTCTCCAGAACAATACGGGCTCCGCCAACGCCTACGCCTACGTAACCGGCCTGGACCTCAACCGCAACAATGCCGTCTTCCTTCTCCAGGCCGACGGCGTCACCGGCTACTACCCGAGCTCGCCCTCGGACATCCTCCAGGACGTCGGCGCCGACACCGCGATCCCGCTCGGCGCGCCGGGGTCGACGAAGAAGCTCACCATTCCCCAGATCGCCGGCGGCCGCATATGGTTCTCTCGGGACGGCCCGCTCAAGTTCTTCCTGAACCCGGGCCCGGCCGTGGTGGAGCCCTCGGCGACCAACCCGGCGGACCCCAACTACAACCTCAACTGGGGATTCTGCGAGTTCACCTTCAACAGCTTCCAGGTCTACGTCAACATCTCGTACGTCGACTTTGTCAGCATCCCCGTGTCCCTGACGCTCGAGAACGACGCCGGCACCGTCACCAACGTGCCAGGGTTCCCGAGCAACGCCCTCGACATCATCTGCGACAAGCTCAAGGCGCAAGATGCCGCCGACGGCGCGGGCTGGAGCAATCTCGTCGTGCGCACGGCGGACGGGTCCGCCAACCTGCGCGCCCTGAGCCCCAACTCGGGTATCGTCATGAACCAAAACCTCTTCAACGGGTACTACCAGCCCTACGTGGACGCCGTGTGGGACAAGTACCGCTCCGCCGACCTCACCGTCAACACGCAGGCCGAATGGGGCGACGTCAAGGGCCGCGTGGGCTCCGATAATCTCCTGACGTTCGGCTCCGTCGGCTCCTTTGCCCAGCCCGCCGCCCGCGACATCTTCAGCTGCAGCACGGGGCCGTTTGGCGGGTACCCCAATAACCAGGCTGAGATGGGGGCCATCGGCGCCCGCATCGCGGCGGCCTTTAACCGGTCGACACTGCTCATCAATGACCGGCAGCCCGAGGGGGAAAGCGTAGCCAAGTACTACAAGGACGTCCGGACGAACCACTACTCGCGCATTTGTCACGAGGTCAGCCCTGACGGCCGCGGCTACGCGTTCCCCTACGACGATGTCAGCTCGTCAAACGGCACCGACCAGTCCGGTTCGCTGTTCGACTCCAACCCGAAGCTTCTCACCGTTGGCATCGGCGGCGGCAATGGTACGACTGCCGCTGCGGCTGAGGCCCCGACTGAGGTTGCAACGAAAGAGGCTGTAACTGCTCCTGCGACAACGTCAGAAAAGCAACCGCAAAAGGAAGAAGCGCAGTCGCAAAAGGAACTGTAAGTGGTCGGCATCCGTATCTCGATGCAAACCCCCCTCCCCCCTCAGGAATTTGTAATTGTGTCTAATACGTCCCTCTCATTCGCAGCCGCCGGAGCAATACCAAGAGCAAGAGGCAGAGGCTGTGGGCCCGTGTGAAAGCCCTGGTGTAATAGGTCGATCGATCGATATTGGATTGCATTTTGGCGTGGATACTCGTAGATACCAGACAGTTGTGCGCATATGTAACTATCACATGTCACATATCATCATTCTTTCTTAATCAATTCATCAAATATTGAGCTTAAAGCCCCGACCAGAACTTGTGTTGTTTTGTTTGTGTCGCCGGCGGCAATGCTCCGCATGTCTCTGGCCATGGCAGACGTTCGGGCGCCCTTCTAAGGCTCGATGGGGAAACACCAATCCTGGCGGCGTAATCGCTGTTGAAACTTGAACGAATAGTCTGTCCGTGTCTTAGACAACATTCAGGGCCCGTTGCTTTTTTCTGCAGTAGTAGACCAATGCAGCGGGAGGAAACGCAGCGTTTGGTCGACTCGGACCCGGTCACTGGTGACGAGGCCTCCGAGAATACCCAATCAATGGTACAGAGTATAGACACAATAGTAGGCAGATGGTTTGCATCCGCATGTCTCTTCTGCGGTGACACCTCTGACAGCAAAGAAAATGGTTGACAGGGCTTGCTTTCGATTCAGCCCTTTCCCCTCTGGAGCTGCGACAGGGAAGCGAACCCGACAGATTGCCAGATCACGGCGTGCCGCCCCGGAAAGCGACCAGTCACCTTTCGGCGGGCACCGCAGAATGCAGAATCCCAGAGGGAACTTGAAGGAAGCGAAGGAGTGGGCCAGTCATGCAGGTGTAGGCCGCTGTCTTTCGGTCTCTCTCTTTCTCGTGGATCCCACCGGAATTGAACGAAGAACGGGATTGGGAGAGACCGTTAGAAATCAGCATGCAGCCGGCGACAGTAGGCTGTATTCGTACTAATTTCGTAGAAAAAGGGCTGGGCATTTGGCTGGGAAAGCGGAGCTAAAACAATTTCAACCCTGGCCTCAACTCCGCTGGAAGCCCTATTCGATGCATGCCGCACGCGAGCTGCAGCCATTCCCGTAGGTGACATGGGCGACATGCGGATACTCGTACGAAGATTCGTACGTATGCGCTCTCTCTTCTCCTTGAGGGCATTCCACGCGTTCAAGTCTCGACTGAAATTGGCGTTGACGACGACGAGTCACAGAGACTGTAATACAATAGAGGATAATGCCGGAATAAAAGGGGTACGTGCAGACCGATGGTCGATCGGGGACGGCCGTTGGATTGTTCCCGAGAGAGATTCGAGAAACACGGAAAGGCGGCAACAGGACCCCGGACCGCGGACGGATGGTTTGTAATTTGCTGCTCGACCGTTGGGACCGGTGACAAAAAGTCTGAACAAGATCAATAAAAACGCAATATGGATCAAACCTCGGCACCTAACTGGGCTCCAGAAGACCCCCAGGAGGCCCCAGTTCGGCGCTCACGAACTGTCCGTCACTGCAGTAGCTCCTCCGAGGGGTTCCAGTCCCGCGAAGCCCCCGGTCGGTCGTTTGTTCCGAAAGGGCCTAGACGCGGCCAAAAAGACGATGCGCAACAGTGCAACCCGCGGAAAGTGAGGTGCTTCTACTGCTGGCCTGCTGCAAACCAAAAGATGACAGCTGCTGGTGCGGCGTGCCGGTGCCGCGAAGAAGAGGCGACTAAGGCGATAACGCACACACATCCCGCTCTCAGGTCGTCTCCCCGTCCTTACAGGAGACGGGAGGGAGAAGGAGGCCAGGCTCAGGTTCACTCTCACTCTCACTCTCCAATCTCACTCACTTTCCTCAACTCTCTGTCTCCTCACTCCCCCACATCTCCTCTCTACACTCATCCTTCAGTCGTCCAGAACCTTTCGCGGCTCGCCGTACGGATACCTTCACAGGTTCAGGCACACAACGAGGCGTGCGAGCGTGTGCCACTCACACGTTCAACGTCCAATTGCAGACTGCAGCCGTTGTCCCTCCTGATCGACCACATCAAGGAAACCTGCCACCCCTCCTCGCCGCCGCAGTCCGTCATCTCACATTCTCGACCCCCAAAGGACCAGGGAGGATTCTCCCGTTGAGAGGATGTGACCGTCTTGTTTTTCTTTTTGCCCTCCCCTCTTCCATCGGGCTGCCCGCGGTTTGCTCCCCAAATTAAATCTTCTGCCCAGTCGTCTTGGCCTCGCACCTCCCCGCTTCGATCGCCATTGCATAACGGAGTAGATCCAGTATCATGATCTGATCCGATCATGGCACCCACATGAAGCGATCCATCTCATTACTCAGCTCTTAACCCAACACTGGCCCTTTCTCAACTTCGCATCGTGGCTTTTTTTAGTTGTATCTTTTCCTTCTGGTCCTCTTGGCTGCTCTGGGAGAGATATCCGCGTCTCCAGCATGGTCTACTGCGGTAAGCCGTCGAAAGGCTGTTCCAACTGTCGTGAGCGCAAGATCAGGGTAAGTTCCCTATCCTTGTTGTAGACATTTCGCAACTCGTGCAGCTAGGTCTGCTCTCGTCGTTGATTGCCAAAAGTTTCTTGCACGTCGGCGGGGAGGCAACGTCTTCTCGGACGGCGGGAGAGGCTTCTGACTTTAGGCTAATGACGATGCCAACAGTGTGATCAAAAGGAGCCCGGCTGTGGCCAGTGTGAGAAGCGACAGCAACAATGTCCTGGCTACCGAAACCTCGTCGACCTCATGTTCCGAGATGAGAGTTCACACGTCATCAAAAAAGCTGCCAAAACGAAGGCAAGGGGTCGATTAAAGAATGCACAGGCCTCGAGTGCCGGATCGTCCTCCGAAAATGTAATAGCAAGCACCGACCACGACAGCTCCGATCCGAGTCCTCCTGGAACGGCCGTGAGACCCAGCGTTCGGCGCCAATATCCACCTCGTCCCATGGAAACCACGATGCAGAATATGACTATTAGGCATCGGCCACGGCAGATCCAATGGTCATCCTCCTCCTCCGATAGCGATGACGACGAAGACGGGCCTTGGTCAATGGCACCACGCGCAAGGCCTCTGTACTCTTTGTCGCCCTCATATCAGGAACGTGGCACGGCCTTTTTCTTTTCTCGCTATGTCTCCATGGACGAGAATGCCTGCCATCAAAATTATGACTTCATCTTTGATGTCTGGCGCCCCGCCAGCATGCTGCCCAGTCGACAGGCGGACGGCGTGATGGCTAGTATAGCTGCTGTGGGCTTGGCAGGCCTTTCGCACCTGACAATGTGTGCAGAAATGATGGACTGGTCGCGTCGGAGCTACGGCGCCGCTCTCAAAATGACAAATGATGCTCTAAGGGACCCAGTTGAAGCCGTCAAGGACACCACCATGTTGTCCATTCTCGTGTTGGGGACCTACGAAATGTTGAGCGGTCGTACCAACCAGACAGTGAGAGCATGGCAAAACCATCTCAACGGCGCCTCTGCTCTAGCCAAGATGCGAGGCCTCGGCCAGTTCACAACTAGAGCGGGGGCACGAATGTTCATGATGCTGACACAGATCGTCCTCATCAACTGTATGCAAAGAGACATGCCCATGCCGCAGTCTCTCATCGACCTCCGGAACCAGCTGGGTATGCTTTCGGGCGGAACTGACCCTGGCTGGCGATTATCTGGTCCCATATATAAGGTCATGCAGCTGCGGTACGACATTAACAGCGGGAAACTTAACCAAACGGCCGATATCATCAACCAACTGTCCAGCGTCGATCAAGACTTTGCCGATGTCATTGCCGATTTACCTGAAACGTGGAGATACAGATCTGTGAGGCTTGCGACATCACACCCATCCGTTTTCGATGGTCACCGCTGTGATGTATACGCTACGCTGGGGCTGGCTGCGACTTGGAACGGCGTCCGATCGATAAGAATGATGGTACACGAGACCATCCTCGGAGAGCTTTTCAAATGCTTTCAAGGTCAACACATTATGCTCTGGCCGTACGAGGCAAAATTACAGCTGGCAAAGTCTGTCGAATTGTTGGAGAAACTTTGCGAAACTGTGTTGGCCAGCATTCCTCAACATTTCGGCGTTGTCAATTTTAGAGACGCTCTGTTTGGAGGCGGCGGCGGCGGCTCACCGTCAGCCATTGTACCAGTAACGAAGTCTCCGTCTCGAATTGTGCGATCTCCTTCGATTTCTGCATCGTCGTCTTCGCCGTCGTCCGTGGCTGAAACGCCGCCAGGCCCGAGGTCTTTCAATGGCCCAACTCTGCAAGACCCAACCTACGCGAAGGGCCGCAGCAACGATGCCGAGCGGTTCATGACCCTTGCTTCCGCAAGCAACACGATTGTGTGGCCGCTGTACTTGGTTGGAGTTTCATCGTGTTGTACGCAAGAAGTCAAAGACTTTGTCGTCGACCGACTGAAAGCGATACTCGAAGAGTCGGGGTTGATGCAAGCTCATGGAGTGGCACTCATGGTTCGGGACAAGGAGGTGTATATTCCGTGGTCTGATGTATCCTGGAATCGGATGCCACAGACACATATACCGTCCGACTTGATCGTTTAGATCTGGAGAGCTTAGTGAGGCGTGGCTGAATCGCTTGCTGCCTTTGTATCAATAGACATATACATAGATGGTGCGCAGAAGATCCAAGTAGCTTTGGATGCGCAGTATGATGGTCAAAAGGGGTATCATGTCTTTTCTTCGTCCCATAGCCTTTAACTATATCAGCGTTAAATCGGCCACGATGTCTCACCAGTTATCGAAATTGCCGAATCCGCCACTTTTGAACTTCTTCTTGGCCGGTTCTTCCCAAGTATCCAAGTCGGCCGCCCCCGTATCTGCAGCAGCGGAGCCCTGCGACTTCAGGTATTTGCCCACGCCAGCTCCGGCACTCCCACTGTCCACAGTGCCGTCGGCTCGGATCCGCTTGCCCGTCCACGTTGTCTTGTCGTCTTCGGTACCTCCACTCAAGGCTATTGCCTGCCTCTTCTTTTCCAGATTCTCGATCTCGCTCTTTTCCTTGAGGAACTCTTGAAACGGATCCAGATAGACCACCACGTCTTTTATGACAATCTTGTTGAGTGGTCTGTCGGACCCGTCAGTGGGAACGTCTTCCATTTTGGAAAGCACGTCGAGCCCACCAACGACCTTGCCAAATACAGTATGCTTGTTGTCCAGGTGCTTCGTTGGCCGATAGATGATGAAGAACTGGCTTGAGTTGGTATTCTTGCCTTTGTTTGCCATGCTAAGAACGCCGCGAGCATCATGCGTCAAAGGCCCGTCGAACTCGTCTTCAAAGTTCTTTCCCCAAATGCTGGTGCCGCCCTTGCCTGTGCCTGAAGGATCGCCTCCCTGGAGCATGAAGTTTCTGATGTTTCGGTGGAAGGTGACACCCTTATAATAGCCCTTCTGGGCCAATCTCGTAAAGTTCCATACCGCGCGAGGTGCGTATTCCGGATACAGTTCGATATTGAGGTCGCCCAAGTTTGTCTCTATGCGGACATATCCTTTGATCTTGACCCGTTTCGGCTTGAGCATGTACTCTTCGTCAGTCAAGAGTGCCCTCTCGCCACTCGTCTCGGGCGTGAGGCCTGTGCTGGTGAAACTGGCGGCAGCTCTGCCGTTGGTGTAGACCGCAGCATTTGACGGGATCTTCTTCTCCGTTACCATGGATTTCCTTTGGGCTGCAGATGTCGCCTTCACAACGGCACCTGAAGAGCGGTTGACGTCGGCGCCTCCATCGCGTTCCTTCCTCGCTTTCTCGACAGCCTCTTTTGCGCGCAGGACCTTGTCACCAATCCTGCCCAGCGCATCAATGTTGACATTGCCATTCTTCCGCTCCTCTTCTTGCTCTTTGCTCAGGATAGCATCTTCGCCATCTTTGAGGTATTTAAACTGGCTCAAGTCTCTGCTAGCAGCGTTCTGGGGGTCCTGCAAGGTAATGATATCCGCTCTTGTGAACTTTTCGTCGTCAACAAGATCCTGCCAGTTCTTCGCCTTGATATTCATTCGTTCGACGGTCTCCCAGGCAAAGACGTTTGCATATGTTCCATGTCGAATCGCAACGATGTGAGTGTTGTCAGTGAAGACCTTGAAGGTGACGGGATCGATCAGATCGCCTTGGCCATCGCTTAAGCCTGCGCTCCTCGAGTCGGTTTCGGCGTTCCTTGAAAAGTTCAGCTTGATCAGGTCTTTGGCGTTCAACGGCTCGCCATTGACAGGATTTGTGTTGTGCTTGTCCAACCACGAGCTGATGATTTCGACGTCGAAGATGGTACCATCCTTGGTGCAGACTGGATTCTTGAAGGGCTGGAGGCTGGCGGCACAAAAGTTGAAGGGCAAACGGCGAAAGGAGCCTCGCGACCGCGAATTGACATTAGCGCCGGCGCTGGCAGAGTAGGCATCCGATGATGACCACTCAGAATGGGTGATGTAGAGCTTATCTGTGTTTTTGCCCATTGTCGCCGTTAACGGGAATCGGTCCTTAGGCGCTGTTGAACGAGGCTGACAGGGTTATGATGGCGGGACCGCGATGTGAAAGACGTGGGTGTTTCGTCGTAGCCGCGCCATACAATAATTGCAGAAGTTGAATCTGAGCCAGGAAATGCGATAGGAATCTTCGCTAGTAATTATGCAGGAGGGGCGACTACCTTAGCGGCATCCTGGAAGGGTGGCTGCCGTGCAGTGGCACTTTGTACCTTCCATGTATGGAGCTGAGGCAAGCTGTCCTCCCTACCTTACCGGGAGGCTCCCTTACCTTCGGATACCTATGCTACCTTCGTTAGGGATATCTGCCCCCAAACACGTAGAAAGGTACCCATGTTTCGACTAGTAGCTCTGCGTAGAAACCAGTAGCGCAGTGTTCCCTGGCGTACTGACCAATGAAACTCTCCGAGTGTTGGAAGTTCCAGTAGTAAGCGTACGTAGGTACCTCGGAGCTTGGCACGCACCTCCCTCACGCTGCAAGTTTCGCGCAAGGTCCGGTTCCTGTCTGCCAGGCTGGCACTGACAGACTTCCATCTGCTACAAGCTCCCTTCAACACCGCCTCCGTGCAACGTATCCGAATTGGCCGGATTTGCTGAATTTCACGATCTCTCAGCGCCATTATCCAACCGTACCCAAGTCGCATGCCCTCTTTCGGTTCGGCATGCTACATGCGACCATCGTCTCAGTAACATCGTCGTAGATAGAGCTGGCTGGAGCTTGACACCCAAGGCGAGCATCACGCAGCGATCGCTTCCCCTCGACTTCTAGTCTACCAAACCTTAAATACCTACTCTCCGTCGCAATCTTCCGGCCTACGGTGCCTGTTCTCAAGATGAAGGCCTGGCTCTATGCCTCCGTCCTGGGCATGTCCCTCTGGGCGGCTAATGCTCTGGAGGTGAAAATGGTAAGACTCCTATCTTGAAGCAATGATTGCGACATACCTAGCCCGGTGCCATCAGAAGCTAATTTGACCTCGCTGCCATAGGACCAAACGGACGAGAACAGACAGAGATGCTCAGGTAATTTCCACAGTGGCTGGAGAGCGTAGTTACTATGCACGACACGATACTGATAATGGTATAACGCAGGCATGTATAGCCGCAGTGCCTGGGGCGGACCTGTCGACCCTTACATCAACGTCATGTTCATCCCGAAGGAAGCGCCAGCGGACCAGGATCCTACCGTGAGCTTGGTCATCTTCGAGTGGAAAGACGAGGACTTGATTGGCGTTCGTGAGACTCCGGATGCAGAGAATGTAAGATACACTCGTTCGACAAGCCCGAGACCAATTGTAATGGGTGGCTGACACTCCGTTTCAACCAGAAAATCGGCATTTGCCAGGAAGCATTTGTTCAGAAGAACTACTGCAACGAGACGGATATTGGCAAGTTCATCATCGATAAGGAAGCCACGACGAAGTCGAAGAACATCATCGAAACGAAAGCCATCCACCTCAAGGAGCCCCAGAGCACCAAATACATGATCAAGAAGACGGGCTATTACTGCGTCCTGACCGATAAGTTCACCGCGGGCGAGTTTACCGCTGTCGTGGAGTTCCGTAATGCCTATGGCGAGCTGCCCGCGACTCAAATTCCGAAGCTACCCTTCTACGGAGGAATCACCATTCTCTATGCCTTAGTTGCCGTATTCTGGGGCTTTTTGTACTACCAGCACCGCCATGATATTCGTAAGTCGAAAGGTTCAATGCAGTTGTTGCCCATCTAATCACAATCGCAGTACCGGTTCAGAACTACATTACGGCCATCATCATCTTCCTCGTTGTGGAGATGCTCTTGACATGGGGCTTCTATGGTAAGGTTCCCTTTTCTCAGTTGCAAGAAATTAAATTGACCTAAGACAGACTACCTCAACCGAAATGGTGCGAATATCGGCTCCAAGGTGTTACTAGTAATAGTAGCCATTTTGAACGCTGCTCGCAACTCGTTCTCTTTCTTTTTGTTGCTCATTGTCTGCATGGGATATGGTGTAGTCAAACACACGCTTGGACGAACGATGATCTGGGTACGCTGGCTTGCGATTGCCCACTTTGTCTTCGGGCTCGTGTATGCGATCACCAGCTTGCTGATTACCCCAGACGCTGCTGGTAAGCCGTTATATCCTCATTACTCAAGCTACCCAGACCGTTGTAGACTAACACACTATAGGTCCCTTCGTGCTTCTCATCGTCCTCCCTCTTGCAGGTACACTTACCGGATTCTACATCTGGACGCTGAACTCCCTGAACTTCACGCTCAAGGACCTGCGTGAGCGCAAGCAGCATGCAAAGGAAGCCATGTACAAGAAGCTATGGTGGTGTATCCTGATCAGTATTTTTGTCATCTTCGGCTTTTTCTTCTTCAACAGCTTCAGCTTCGCATCAGTCAGCGACCCCGACTACGTTCCCTTCCACTGGAAGTCGCGGTGGTTCGTTCTCGATGGCTGGCTGAATCTTGTCTACTTCGCCGATGTAGCATTCATTGCCTACGTCTGGAGACCGACGGCGAACAACCGACGCTTCGCCATGAGTGACGAAATTGCACAAGACGATGATGGCACGTTCACGATGGCTGATATTGGCGGCATTGACTCGGACGATGACGACGAGGAAGCCCAACTGGGCAAGAACAACACCACTGCTCCATCATCCACTCCTGGCCACGGTGGCTCCTCGGCCGCACCGGCGAGCATGCCCCAAGCGCAGCCACAAAGACACATCCCTCGCGAGTCTTTGGATGGAGAGACCATCTTCGCAGTGGGAGAAGATGGCGACAGGTTCTCGGATGATTCTGATGAGGAAGACGCCAAGCTTGTAAGCAAGAAATAGACGGTGGGCATTTTGGGTTCCGGGCATCGGAAAAAGTAGCAATTGCGTAATTGCAGTGTAAAGTATGCACTTCAAGGGCGGCGTTGGCGCAGTATACTCGGTTTCCGTCATTCAGGAGAGAAGATTCATTGTCATGTAGAGGTCGGGGGTACCCCATTGTCAATTATATGATCGCAAATAATGCTCTCGAGTCTGCTCTCGTTTGGTATCATTTTACAGGTGGTTCCTAAACTAAAAGTACACGACAAGTCTTACACGTCGCCGCCAAAGCCGACGGGACGCCTCTTTCCGTCGTTCTCAGGCAAGATGGCCATGGCCTTGTAGACCTTACCCATCCCGCCGGGGCCACGGTCCACAAGACGTTTCCATGCACCCTCGATGGCCTGCGCCTTGTCAGCGGCCGCATTGGCTTTGACTTGCTTTATCAACACCTCGGCACGCTCTTTGATGCCCATCTGACCCAGAAATGCGCCCTGGTCGACCGGTCCGTGGACCTCAACACCCTCACTCGCGACCATCGCTGCCTCAGCGATGGCGGTGAAGTCGACGTCGGCGCTCAGGTCGACGAGACCGGGTTCCGAGAAGGGACTGACGCGGCGGTGACGGCGGATGCCTCTCAGAGAGTTGATGGGGACGGTGTCGGACGTGCCGTAATCCAGGATCAGTGCCGCACCAGAGGGCCGGGCTTTGGGATGCTGCTTTGAGCCACCGATGCGGCTGGCAAAGTCGGCGGCGTAGATGGAAGCGTCGGGGCAGATCTCGGCTACGGCGTCCGGGACGGTGGCTTTCAGACGGCGGTAGCGGGATGAAGTCTCGGGGACGTAACGCGAGTGGCGGGTTGGGCCTGTGGCGAGCGTCATTTGGAAATCGGGGATCGGGTCGCCCTGTTCTGATTTCGGTATGTTCATGGTCGCGTGGGTGGCGTCTGGCGGTGTCGGCGAGACGAGCATCTCGCGCCATTCGATCTTGGGTCCTTCAGGTTCACGAGGAGGGGGGGTTCTCGGGGCAGGTTGTCCTGGTATGGGCTCTTTGGGCGGGGAAGGGGGGACGGTGACGGCTTGGAAGGCGTGGATGGGGAGCGCATCGAAGAACTCATGTGCCACAATCAGGGGCATCTTCTCGGGGCCTGGGGATGGTGTCAGCCTTTCGAGTCCTCCCGAAGCCGCAACGGATTCATGGTGCTTACTTTGAGGGATAGACTTAATGGTCTCGGTCCAGACAATGGGTAAGTTGGTCCGCTTGCAAACGCTGTGATAGCCGACTTTGGATTCGGTCATGGGCGCGTCAGGACCGCAAAGGAGGTTCTTCTGTGCCTCTCGGAGCTGAGGGCTGGCCTCAACCATGTAGATGGCGTCGATGCTCTGCGCAAAACCCTTGAAGTTCTGCACAGTCTATATACGGAATGTCAGTCGTCAACGTTCACTTGCCCCAGGTAACTCAATTCCACTTACACGAAGCATGTCGTCCATTAGAGTGCCACGCCCGGGACCGACCTCCATGAGCTCGACGCCCTTACTAGGCTTGCCCTGGCTCAACCACTCCGCAACGAACCAGATGCCAATCAGTTCGCCGAATATCTGGGAAATCTCGGGCGACGTAACAAAGTCCCCCTTCAAGCCGAACTGGTCTCTGTTCTCTTCGGCCAAACCCGTATAGTATCCGTCAATGTCACCGGTCAGACACATGCGCATATAGCTCGCGAGAGGTACGGGGCCGGTCATCTATGACATGAACAACATTAGAGGAATGCAATCAACGTTAAGGAAGAGCGCAGGTGTAGTACCGAGATAGCCTCGGCCAGTTGCTTTGCCAAAGGCGTGGACCATTTCCTCTCCTCTCCATCCCGCCTTGAGACCGTGCTTGAAAAGCATCTGGAAGCATGCGCTGCGCTGGTCCGCTGCACGGCGCGGGATATGGTAGCGCCACGAAGGCCATCCAACAAAATTCTTTGACGAGATAGTCGCTGCATCTTTGCGTATTTCCACAGGTTCTCTTTGCTACTTCGAGTAAATTTCTGGGCTTCAACGAGCTGTCGGGATCATCGCGGGATTCCTCAAGAAAGAGAGGAGCCCTTAGTAGCACATGTGCATGTGGCACTGCAATTCGAGGAGAGGTTTCTCGTTTCGGGTGAGGCAGGTAGCCTTGTACGATGTTCGCTTCGTCCGGTTCGTTTACGGCTGCGCGTCGTGAGAGTTTCCAGTGACAAGCAAGGAGCAGCTTCTGGAGCTTTGTCAATCCAAACTTTTGGGGTACGATAAGATAAGGGAAGCCTGCAATTCCGGGACGCTACCCACCTAGCTCTGGCTGTGACTTGCATGAGCTCCCGCCGCCGGGTCCCCGAGAAAAAACAAAAGAATGGGACAAAGTCGGAGCATGGTAGCCGCCGAGTCGCCGCGCCTGATCCCTGCTTCACTGCACCACCTGAACGGCAGCGCGATTGCAAGTCGTAGGCTATTTCCAAGTGGCTTAAACTACGACGAAACTGCCACACACGAGTCCCCCCCCCCTCGACAACCCCTCTCGAGACGAAGATTGGAGACTCACCTACATCACATGCTTCTTAGTCAACAAGAGGCTTTCCCGTCTGTTGCGCCCAAATCCACAACCACCCTCGCCGCCGACCATGGCGAGCAACGCCAAGTCGAGGTGGGCAGACAGCGCAGAGGACGCAGCCTTGGATGCAAAACTAAAGCGAGAAAAGGAGGACAAGAAACGTTTGAAAGCCGAAAAGGCGCGCAAAGCCGCCGAGGCGGAACGATTGGCGCAGCAGGCGAGGGCGGCGAAGAGCAGCAATGGAACTGAGAACGACGGCGACGTCAACGACAGCACACGGCCAGCGAAACGGCGCAAGTTCACGCCCGACGCAGAAGACGGGACAATAACAGCCAATGGCGACGACGGTGCGCCACCAGATGCAAAAGAGCGCGCGGCGAAGCTCATGCGCTTCCCTGTCGGCCACTGGGGCAAGTGCCGGAGCGTGGAGAACTACGACAAGCTCAACGATATCGAGGAAGGCACATACGGCTGGGTATCGCGGGCCAAGGAAGCTTCTAGTGGCAAGGTCGTTGCGCTCAAGAGGTTGAAGATCGAACCAAGTGATCGCAACGGGCTGCCTGTGACGGGGCTGCGAGAGATACAGATCCTGCGAGACTGCAGCCATCGCAATATCGTTAACCTTGAGGAGGTTGTTGTGGGGGACGACACCTCAAAGATTGAAAAGTACGAAACCTATACATCTATCAGCCTGCTTTCTTAGTGGTGGCAACGCTAACAACAGAGTTTGTAGTATCTTCCTAGTACTAGAGTTCGTCGAACACGACCTTAAGAGCATCCTAGAAGACATGCCCGAACCCTTCCTCCTCTCCGAAGTCAAAACCCTCCTCCGGCAACTAACCGCCGGCGTCGCCTACCTCCACGATAACTGGATCCTCCACCGCGACCTCAAAACCTCGAACCTCCTCCTCAACAACCGCGGCCAGCTCAAGATAGCAGACTTTGGCATGGCACGGTACGTCGGCGACCCGGCCCCGAAGCTGACCCAGCTCGTCGTGACGCTGTGGTATCGCTCGCCCGAGCTGCTTCTCGGCGCGAAGGCCTACGGCAAGGCCGTGGATATGTGGAGCGTGGGCTGCATCTTTGGCGAGCTCCTGACGCGGGAGCCGCTGTTGCAAGGCACCAATGAGGTCGACCAGGTGACCAAGATTTTTGAGCTCTGCGGCGTGCCGACGCAGGAGAAGTGGCCCTCGTTCAGGAGCCTGCCCAACGCGCGGTCTCTGCGATTTCCTAAGACGCCCAATGTCACAGGGTCCATAATTCGGACCAAGTTTACCACACTGACGAATGCCGGATGTAAGTTGCTCAACGACCTGCTTTCGTTGAACCCGGATTCGAGGCCGTCGGCCAAGGAGATGCTGGAGCACAAATATTTTAGGGAGGATCCAAAGCCCAAGAAGGAGGGCATGTTTCCAACGTTCCCCAGCAAAGCTGGCCAGGAGAAGAGGCGAAGACATGAACCGAATGCTCCCGTCCGCGGGCAGAATGCAGCAGATCTGGGTGATGTCGACTTTAGCGGCATCTTCCAGGGCAGAGACAAGGAAGAGAAAGGCGGTGGATTCTCACTCAGGATGGTGTAAGAGAAGAGTTGATAGTTCATACGGCCATGTATCAGCCAGTATCATCAATTAAGCTATATATCAAGATAACACTCATAAACGTCTTGAGTTTACCTATATGCGGAGTCATATTTTGCCCGACCATGCTTTGACACGTAACGCCGCCCTTGGTGTTGTGTAGAAATGACCACCGTAAATGATTACCGCTGGACTCTTGTTCCTCGCTCTTGTTAGGCCCCCCAAAGCAACTAGATATTCAAAAATTACAGATGAAAATTTTTGGTCATTATAGAACACGTCGTTAAAACATGCCCACTCCCGCCACAAACCATGTGAAACTGGCCACCGTGAGAATGCTCATACCGACAGCCATGCTGAGAGCCTTGCTGTCGAGACCAGACGCAGCAGAGCACGTTGCGCAGTTCCACTCGTTCAGGGGCTTGTATTCTTGAGCCTTGTACATGCCAAACTTGAAGCTGGAATAAACACCAAGGTAGCCAGGCTGAGCGGTAGCACTGACGCTCGATTCCGCGTCGTAGATGACAAGAGTGTATTCGTCGTTTCGCAACGGCGCCGAGGGGTCGGTTGCCTGCACGCTCGAATCCCAGGTGAAGGAGGCGGGCTGAGCAAAGGTCATGTTCTGTGTCAATGTCCAGGTCTGAGCCATGGATGAGCACGAAACAAGGACATCGATGGCCGTAGGAGAGGCTTGAAGGTTTGTGTAGTTCCATCCCCAGGTGACAAAGTCTCCTATTTTGTAAAGGTTGATAGACTGAGCCGTGGCCGCTGGCGTGACCATGGTAATGCCACCGGCCGGATCTGTGTCATCGAAAGAGGTCGCCTTGGACTTGCTGGTGCCTGTCTTGGTGCCAGTGCCCGTCTCAGTGCCTGTGGGAAGCTTTGCGGTGTTGAGGTTGGTGGTCTTCGCGCCGCCGGTGTTTGTCGCCTGTGCCGTTCCTGTTGCTGTGGCGCCAGTCTGAGCAGTCGCGGTCTGAGTTGCGGCAGCTGGTGAGTAAAGTTAGCTATGGAGGTTCACAAACACAATGTGACGACGGGAAGATCCCGGGGGAAACGTGGCACGACATACCGGTTGAGGATTGATCGTTTTGCCGCACAACCAGGGCATCGACATCTGGAAGCCACTTGGGCCAGGCGGAGGCCAGAGGAGTGAAGACGGCAAGGCCGAGAGCGAGAGACTGAACGGCCTTCATTTCGATGTGGGGGGAGGTAGGTTCCCGGTGAAATTTATGAGTGTGTGTTGAATTTGAGGACGAGGTTCCTAGCGGAAGGACGTCGTCGAGGCCTTCAAAATTAACCAAAATGGTTTAAAAGGCGAGTGCAGTCGGTCGAGAAGGACCTTCTTGGTGTCTTTCGATATTCGGTATCGAATAGTCGTGGTTGAGGGAGATGGTGTTGGATCGTGGCCACCCCTTTTTTCGCAGTAAATTCGCAATAACAAAACCTGGGGGGTTGTCGTTGGCTTGTCAAGTAATTCGGGACCCGGGAGAATTGTGCTTGGTTTGTGAATTCCTCCTCTTTCAATAAACGGCCAAAAACGAGCGGGTAGAATCAAGCGAGTGTCGATGTTTCGAATTAAACAGCAAAAAAGGCGGACGTCGAGAAAGGGCGTTTGAATTGCTGCTGGGAAGCAAATCACATCAGGATGGGAGGAAAGAGGAGTCGACCAGGAGAGGGAGGAAGTAGAGGCACCAGCAGGCAGGCTAACTAAGAAGGCGCTGGAATGGGAGGAGAGATTTCGGGGCGGGTTCAACAGGAGGGAACGTGGATGGGGCTCCGATTGATTAGGTTTGGTGGATCCACAGCAACCAAGGCCCATCCCCCGAATGTGCAAGTGACTCTCGGGGAGGGCAGGGGGGTTGGGGGGATTTCCCAGCGTCTCCTCGAAGCTCCAGGGGAAGATTGGGTGGTGGCTGAAGGGTGCGAGTTTGGCTAAGGCGCGTTAAGGTAGTGACGGAATCATGGCACGGGCAAGGCCGTAATCCGTATGAACGAAGAAAATAACAATAAAAATGGGAATGCAGGGCAACGCGATGCAGCAGGTACCTAGGGAACAGGGGCGAAGCCTGTTAGGCCACACACCAATGCATTGAGAAAGATGGGGTGGCACAGCACAGCCCGGGCTGAGAAGAGGGCATCGGACCAGTCAGCAAGGGAATCCAGCCAAACAGAGGGCTGGAAACATTATTTTTTGGCTGGGGCATCCAATGCAGAAAAAAATAACCTGCATACGGGTACAGAAAGGCACATCTGCATAAGTACTTCATAGAGACGCACGAGAGGATACAGGTTCCTAGGCTACCCAACAGCCAACAGCCAACAGCCAACCGCCAGCCGCCATGTTCCAACCGTCTTTCGATCCAGTCTCTTTCTCTGTTTTTTACCAGTACCTGCCTCCTTGCGCTAGGGATCTTTAGTTCTACCGTCTAGCGTATCGACATGCCCTGGACCTTCCTCGGCCTGCGTCCCCGCCACCCCAAAGCGTTGGTCCCGACCTCTTTTTATCAGCTCGAGAGCGAAGCCTTAGTAGTACTCAACAAGATCTCGTGAGGTCTCTATCACAATTGGAAGAGTCGGAACCGGACGGGTATTATACAATGGTAAACAACAATGCAAGGCTCGTCGGTAATGAGGGCATAGGTATCCATACCTGTACAGATTCAGATGCCTTGTCTCCAAGGTAAGGTACCCAAGCATTTACTGACCTAAGCAGAAAGTATCTTACGAATAGGAGGGAAGGGACCTGGACGGACGTGAGCGTCACTGACTTGGAGGTTCGCGACCTGGTGGTGCATCGGGTTCAGCATGTGGGATCCACCCGGCACATCGTATTCCTTCC